TAGTATAGAATACTGGTAATTTCTCTTACAAAGTATTTCAAGCTTGCATCACCACTTGTTTCTACTTCATTGAGCATGCCTGTCAGAGTTTTGGTAAAATGGGGGTAAGTTATTTTAAGTTGACTGCGAGATTTGACACCACAACTGAGCTGTGTATGCATACCACTCGTGATAGCTTTACATTTTTTATTAAATCTGTCATCCTAAATCATTTTGTTACTGTCAAAAGTTCGCTTTCACGCTTAACAGCCACTGTCATCCCACACTTATCCCCTGATTTGCATCAGTTATGCTTAAAGGAATGGTCATCTCTTGCATAGTTGAATCCTCTGCTCTAGACTAGCATTAGGTTACGCCCGCAACCATTTCTTGAAATTTCTAGCTATGATTGCTCACTCTCGGTTCTATTTTCTTTCTCTTTCCGACTTAAATAGTTGTTATTTTAAACCGTAGCTAAAGGTGTTATTTTTAATCAAAACAGCGTACTCTCTTTCACATTATTGGCACTTCCCTTAATGTCATGTTTGAATGAAATAAATGTTTAAATTCAGATCCTTGTCATGAAATTAGAAGTTCGTCTGTTCTGTTAGGGCATTTACTATGGCTGCTGTGTTTGAGAATGGAAATCATGTACCTTTGAACAATTTGTTTTCTATGTATGCGTGGCTGCTGTTTAGGCTTTCACCATCGCTTGTGATCCATTCATTGTCATTTTATGGTCTCAAAGTAAAAGAGTGGACTGTTTTGGGAAGTAGTTTGGTGGTCATGAAATCAGTCCTGAAGTTTTGGAAGAGGACTTATCTAGTTGAGGGGATTAGGTTTTCGGTTAGCAAAAAATCAATGGGCTATTGCTTTTGGGGGATGTCTGAATGGTTCTTTGCATGTTTATTTTCTCTGTCTTGGCTGCTGTCCAGTGTTTCAAAAGAAAGAGGTCGTTGCATGATTAGCAAATGAGAAAAATCATTTATATGTGTTCAAAATAAAGTTATTTTTTGGGTTTAAAAAATGGAGATAAAGGTGCTACATTCTTGAAAAAATGGATGCTACTTGTAGGTTTAGAACAGTGAACAATGGGCTTGTGTTTTTGTTTTTTTTTTTGTAAAAAAAGTTGGTCCTATTTTATCTTAGTTTGCGTTGAGTCAATATACTTTTATATTTTGTCATGGTTTCTAAGGTGTTAAAAAATGATGATTAATTGTTGTTTGGAGACTTATTATAGGTTGTCCTAAGTGCGTTTGGAAACATTTTTCTTGGGCACTCTGCATGAATAAATTTCATTCTAATTTACTTAATTTTTCTTTGCCCTTTGGGTCTTTAGGTCACTTTACATATCTTTTTAACCCTTATCTTAAGTTTTCGTTATTGTTTGATAAACTAAAATTAATGATCCTATGCTTTTAGATGGGTGCATCACCTCTTACTATCTAGTACCATTTTCTGGAACTAGTTTATTTTATTTAGACCAGTGCATGATTTGGTGCATAATCCCATTTTAAATGGAGTAGTAGCATACTTTTT